GCAGATATTGAGGTTCGATTCAATACCTTTGAACTATACAAGTTTTCATACTATCATATAAAAATTATGTTTCTGTTAACAAGTACTTTTTCTCTTAATTAAACGTTTAGATTAAATTTAAAAGTAAAGAATTAAAGAATCAACTAACTACAATTGCATAGTTTATTTCTAAATGAACAACTTTTTGCGTGGGGCATTAATATTAATGAGCAAAATAAAGTAATTTTTTTGTCCCATCACTATCAAATGACATTTGTCCCCATGAATTTTTGCCCCCCATAACCATCCTAAATATGGTCACGTCGTTTTGAATAATTACTTATTTTATCACATAGGCATAACTTTATAAAGAAAACATGACGTTTTACTTAAGGTAAATAAATTATGATAGATAACTATTTTAAGTATGTAAATATATATTTTTAATAAATAATAAAAATATAGTTTATAAAAAAATAAAAAGTCATCAAAACATTAAAACAAAATTAAAATATTAATAGGCTTAAAAAATATCTAATACGTGTAGTAATACAATAAACAATAGATCTATCCGTCCATCGACTCTGTTGTAATATTCTGTACATTTTTCGATTGCCGGTGTAGAAAAGGAAGAGTATTATGCCAAGAATGTCATAAACAGCAACAAAAACAAAAACCGGATGTAAATAACAAACTGACAGATGTCAACAAAAACAGATAAACAACATAAATGCTATCAGTTATCAACTAATATAAAAACATACCGTAAACAAGCAAAGCCGACAGTATAGTTACGACTACGGGCCTGTAACATGATCTGAAGATGAACTCTGCAATGAGTTCGAAACGTCAGCTAATAACTACACACACACACACATATATATATATATATCTAAATATAGGTAGACATACAATAAAATTTTTAGGAGTCTTGTCAAATTTAAGTTAAGTGATTAAGAGAGCTTACATGTAAATACAATACATATAAAATTTTCATTTAGAGAAATTGAAGTCCTTCAAAGTAGTGATGAGCGTTTTAAATTATCAAATATTTGAAAAAACTACCGAATGTTTAAAAACTATTCGAATATATTGTCTAACTATCTAATTCGATAGTTACTACACAATATATGTCATAATTATATCAAAGTCTGTCTACGAAAATATCTTAATGTTACTAAATTATATATTGATTCGTTATTAACAGTCGCTATAATCTTTGATTATTTCAATTATAATAATATTTTGAATTTAAGGAACCAATCCCAGACTAGCGTTATTATAGCGTGAATTTTTAATGAACCCAGATCATTTATACCTGTTATTTGTGTGTCTGTGAATTTTTGAATACGAGTATTAACTCTCTAAATTGAATAATTAACTTTAAAATTTCTAATTTTTAAAATTTTAAGTCATCTCGACTACATCAAAGATGAATAGATATTCGTGTTAGTTTTTAGCTTCGATACGAAGCTGAGATGATATTAATTGTACTATGATGTGTTTTTTTTTTATGTCTGTTACTACTTTTCTTCAGCTCTCATCGAATCGATTTTTTTTAACGATACGTTAAAAGATCAAAAATCGTATCTAGTCAAAGACAGTACTCTTAAAAATTGGAAAAATTTACTTCGTTCCCTGTAAATGGGGGAAACCTCCGAAAAAATTACAAATTTTCGACGTTTTTCAATTTTTTTTACTTAAAACTGCCATAATTTTTTTAAAAGTGAATGGATCAATTCAATATTTTTTTAATACATATATTAGGTATTGACCTATTATTTTGTATATATTTTTTTAAATCTGACTCTTCACCTGTTCACAAGGAGGATTCAATATGACAACTTTTTCAACTTAACCTTTCAAAGTGTTCCGGAAATATGACACTTTTATATATATTTAAAATTAAAACTTATGTAAATTACTTTGGTATAAAAAAAAAATCGATCTTTATTTTGTTTTTATGGTGAAAATGGCTACCATATTATAAAATATGCTATTTTTGTGTTAAAATTCACGATTTCATGTTTTTAACTTTATAATGCACTAACTTGTTGAAAAATGTATGGATTAATCCAATTTTTTACCATAAATATTATTTATATAACTTTTTCATTCAACATATAATTTTTGTAAATCGGACCATTTTCCTTTATACAGGGGTCCTTTAAAACTTAAAAATGCATATAGAAACTATAACTATACTATATATTTCCTTATCATTTGGTGTTTTTTTTGTAAATTTGACTTTTCACCTGCCGAAAGTGTGGGATTCAAAATGATAATGATCACAACTGTTATCGTATTATGATAAAGTAGCATATTTTGTTACTTCTATGACAAACATGTATAAAAATTAAAGGACTTGATGCAATACTTTTCAAAAAAAATGTTGGTTAAGAGTAATTTATACAAATATAGAGCCTCTGGATGATTATTAAAACCATCTACACCCAAAGAAAAACCTCAATCAAAATTGAAAGAGAAATTTTATCAAGGGTTTATGATCATCTTTTATTAATACGAACAAAATAACTATTCTTATAAATAATTATTGTTCAAGACAAGAAAAAAAAATATCATATTGATAAATATATCATTGATTCAATGGTAATGATATATTTATCAAATTGAACAATGAATTTATTATATAGATCGAGGTTTTTCTCTGGGTGTACTTGTCTTATAGTTCCAAAACAGCAATAATATATTAAATGAGTATTAATTTATTAAATATGTTGAAATAAATTTCTAAAATAGCTTAATTCTAATGAAAGTTGATTCGTCCTTCTAAAATGTATGAAGGCAAAATAGTTTATAATGTTTATTATATACTATTAAATCCATTATGGATTGCAATGAATAAATATTTTTATTTTTAAACATATTTTCTCATACATTAAGAAACTTTAAAGAATATTTCAAAATCTAATATGAGTATCTATTATTTAAAATTTTTTTAGTAACAGAAAGAGTAATAATAAATGTAGAAAATTGAATCTTTATTTCTATCGATTAAATCATTTTAAAACAATCACTTGAAAGTCAAATGAGTCCGGTTTAATTCCATCATAATCTTTTTTCCTATTGAGAGCATCAAATATAGAATTAATAATATTACAATATTAAATTGTGGATTTACAATTTTAAAATTCTTTTACTTTAATATTTTTATAAAATATAATTGAATAGGCTTCACTACAGATTGTACATTTGAAGTAAAATGAAATTAAATTTCACTGTAAGGCTATGTATTCAATTTTTTTAATATCTTATTTCATCTTATAAATGCAGATCCTTAATATACTCTTTTACATGTACCCAGTCATCGAATTGGGGGGGTGCGCAGGGGGACGTAGCTCCTCTACTTTTTTTTAAATTTTTTTGCGCACCCCAACTACTTTTTTTTATTGGGACGGGAGGACGGTGGAAAATACCACCTCTTTTTTTTTTTTTAAATATTAGTATGATAATGAAATATGATTTATTAATAAATACTAAATAAAGTAATGAGTAAAAAAAAAAAAAAGAGGTCTTCAAAATACTAGGGACGCAGTTTTCAAATTGTTAAGTTGAGCTCCCCTACTTATTTTTGACCAATTCGAGCACTGCATGTACCTTATTATAGAATAAAATTTTTAATACGGCGCTATTAAATCGAAAGTTAACTGATTTAGCTATTCACAACTAGATGGCGTCACGCAGAATAGCCACGAACGTTATGCCAAACGGCTCTACTCTATAGTCTAAATGACAAATTTGTGCTAAATATCGTGGGAAATTACCCAATCAAAAAAAAAAAAACAAAAATTATGGTGGAGACATTTTTTTTTAGACCTTCCGTGGGGTTGACTTATTTTCATTCTTATAAAGATAAATACATCTTATTTTACCTAAGAGGCATTTTTAAAGAAAAAAATATTATCTATTATTTAATATAATTTTCATTGAGCTGTGATCATCCTAAGTTGTAAAAATAATTGATTTAATTATCTATTATTGAAAGAGGTGCGGCTCATGTGCGTTTGCAGAGGGCGTAATTGTATTTTTATTAATTATTATTATTTTTAGGAATTTCAGTATTTTTTTATAAATTAATGGCATGTAGATTTGTTTTTTATCTATTAAACTTATAGACTCTACATTTTATAAATAATACATAAAGCTATCAAAAAATCTTTTATTTATAACTTTTTTCTGTGAGACACATTAGCGCCTATAAAAATAACATTTTTGATGATGCTAATAGTATTTTCTCCCTTCCTTAAAAAATACTACATATATGAATATGACAACACACATTAGTTTTTAAAATTCTTTGGGGAACAAATAGGTTATCTGAGGGAGCAAAGCTTTTTGTTACTTTTTGGCGAGGACTCGAAAAAAGCGCGGTTCCCTAGCTGAAGATTTTATTCAATTTCCCCCCTTCAATATTGTTGTGCAGACAGTGAAAACAAATATTTAAAAATATATTTTGCCCCCCATGAAAATTTTTTGAGGATGCCTTTATTACTGGTTATTGAAGTTATTTTGATAAATATATACTTATACCCAAGGGCATTATTAAAATAGTATACTTTTGCTATTCCTCCTAAATTCTCTGGCTTCCTTTAAATTACAAGGTGCTAATGATAAAATTTTACTAATTATTGCTCGAATATGTAAGCAAAATATTGCATAATTATTTAACAAAAGTTTAGGTAAAATAACATGTATTTAATTTTTTACAAGTTGTATAAAGTTAAAGATAGCGTCTCATAAAAAATTTTTTCACCGCCACCGTAGAAATGAATTGCATGAAGTCAAATTCCTAAGTCAGTAAGTCAACAATGTATAGTCTAAGAAAAAATTGTTAGACATTTTTGAAGCTAATAAAAAAGTAGTTGATTTATTGGGTAGTTTTTTATAGTAATTTTATTGATAACAAGTGATAACATTTATCATATTTTTTAGATTTTATTACTAGGATTATTAATGATATGAAAAAAAATTTAATATATTAAAATGATAAGTTACCATTATTTATAAAAAATCGTTAATATTTTTATTAAATTATTTTAAGAAGTATAAATAAATCATTATTATTTTATTAGATATGTTTTTTTTTATTTTATTTTAGTTAACTCATTTTCTTTAAAAATAATTAATTTTAATTATTTTTATGTTTGATTTTTTTTATTGGTGAGTAATCATTGCATTATGTTAACTAAGTAATCAAGTTTATGAAAAGACTAATTTCTATAAATTAATATATATCAATGAACTGTTTCAAAAAACTTATTTATTACTATTAATCATTATTTTTGTAAAATTTTCAAGAAAACTTGAATGTGACCAATATTTGTAGATGAAATCATTGACAATTAACATTTGAACTATTTTGTATTTGTTACAGGGATTGACTATGGATACAGTTGGTGTTGATTTTTTAGCTCAAATTCAAGAAGGTCAGTTGTATAAATATACTAATGTTGTTAAAGGATGGCAACATAGATGGTTTATTTTAGATCCAAAAGGAGGAACCTTATGCTATTATTTGGTAATTATATATCTTGTAATTTGTGTCATGGAATTGTAATTTTGATTAACATAATATTTTATTTAATACTTAGTATTTACTAAGTATACTAAGTATATATATAAAAAAAAAATGTTTGTTTTTATAACAACAATAGTAGTTGTTATGTTATGTCCAAATTAGTATAAAATTATTATTGCGTTTAAAATATATCAACATTTTTGATTCCAAATTTTGTTTAATGTCTCATATTTGAACACTGTGTTATGTAATGTAGTTTTCAGGTTCCTTGTAACACCTTAGTTCATTAATTGAATTAGGTGATAAAAACGAATATAATAAATTTTAATTGAAGTGATTAGTGTGTAGAAAAATTATTCGCTAACAATATACTTTTTTCTTTTATTATACCATAGAAGATAAAAAGTACTTTTGTTACCAATTATACTAATTTTTTTATTGAGTGTAAATTTATGACAAATTGATATATTTATGTTTACTTGTTTTAAACGTATATTTTAACATACAGTCTCATGGACTCCTGTTAAGACCTACCTATTGGATAATTCTAACCGGTGCTCATCACAGCTATTTTCACTGTATGTGTTAATTTTCAAGTTTTTATTGCAATAGTGAATAGGTTTTGTCCTGTTAATAATTAATTAATCTATGAACATGTTAATATATATTTAAGAATTGGAGTCTAAGATTTTCACATATTTAATTGTAGATTAATTTTTAATTATATATTACATGAAGTATTAAAGTTATAAAACCAAAACATTTAACATTTATGTAATTTAAGCTTGAAAATTATAAAGTTTTGTAAACTATAAATTATTTTTATTAGAGTGAAAATGATACAAAACAACAGCCGAGAGGGTGTATTCATTTAGAATCTGCAGTAATTTCACCTAGTGAAGAAGATTCTAATACATTCAGTGTTAATTCTTGGACAGGAGAATGTTATAAACTGAGAGCTGCAGATGCTCGTGCTAGACAAGATTGGGTAAATCGTTTAAGAGCTACTGCTGAATATCATTCACAAGTAAAATAAATTAAAATCTCATCATTTTCTCTTGATATTTAATAAATTTTTATTTTTATTTAGAAAAATGTTCAGGTTGGGTTGACAGATTCAAGAAGTAGTCAAGTTACAGATTTTTGTCCAAGTGGAATGAAAAGATCATTGGCTAATGCACGACAGTATTTATCGCAAGCTGAAAATAGTTTTGTTGATATTGTACGAATTATAGAAAAATTGCCATCTCAAGGTAATTTGAAAACATCCAAAGTTTTTTAATTTTCTCAAAAAATGTAATTTCTTTACATCTATATCATGAAACATTTAAAAAATTTTCTTCTTACTGTCTTTTTCAGTAAAATAATAATAATCATAAATCCTGTTATTTAGGTACGCGATTGAAGAGTACAGACCCAGATTTGTTAATAATGAAAGCTACTACACAATCAATGATGTGTGCTTTAGAAAATTGTTATAAAATACTTCAACAATCCAGCATTGAGAAACCAATTGTTCGAACTTATTCCTTTTTAAACTCAAAACCATCATTATCTTCAACCCATTCTAAAAGAAAAAGTCACTCTCAAAGTAATTAACAGCTAGGAATGTTACAATTATATGTATTGTATGCTGTGATGTATTAATTTTATCATACAAACATTTAAATTTATTATTACAATTAATTTTATTATTATTTCAACATATTAACTATTTTACTACTTTATTATTGTCTTTCATAAATTATTCAAATAATAATTCCTTAGAATAATTATTTTATGATATGCTGAAGGGTACTCTATTTATAAATTATGATAGTTTATTTATAATTAGTGATAATTTAATGATGGATTTAAGAACATATGAATTTGTTTTCTAATACATCAATATCTATTAGTATTCGTTTTACAATAAAATTAAAATATTGTGATTTTTATTTTATTTATTTTACATAATTTTAAAGTATATAAGATAATATATTTTAAACCAGAATTTTTCATTGGACTATGAATTGGGATAAGATGTAATAGGACAGTACTCAGGTAAAAGATCAGAAGTCAACTTTTGTTCTCTTTTTCTTATAGATACTTAAAAGATATGTTGTTATGTATTGGGTAGTGGTAATCTTAGTGAGTAATTTTTACAATTGTAATATGTAGTAGTAGTAGTAGTAGTAGTTCTGGTTTACATACGCTCCGTATAGTATCTAATCCACAATAGTATAACAAAATGTAAGTTCAATCAATTTAGTTTCCTTGTTTTTAGCAATATAAATGGCAATGTGTAATATTTCGTTAAGTAAGCCCACAACATATGTCAAATGAAAAAGATTGAGTTTTGATTTTATAATTTGTTGATTTTGAAATTACGTTAAAAGAACTAATAATAAACAATTAATTACATATTACTAATGTAAAAAAAATAATATTTTGTTCTACTAATAAGTTAGCATTTTAGACTTGTGATCTAATATTCGCACATTGTTTTATTGTAACTGATTTCATTGACATTTATAATTTATATATGATATAATTTTGTTCTACAAAAAAACTTGATAATCAAAATTCGTTTTAATTTTGTTTCATACAAAAAAAAAAAAACAATCATATAATTATATAAATACTATCTGAGCTCTGTATCGAATTTAAAATGTATAATTAAATAAATGTTATTAAAGCAAGGCTACTAAACAGAAGTCTTCATATGTCTTCGTTCAATACAGATTGAGTTAGACATAACAATTTACAGCTGCAGTTGAATACTATATTTATATACTAAATGGTAAATTACTGGAATACAGGGAGGAAAAAAAAATTCAATAGGATTAACTAGCCATATTGAAGTAAATCTTATATGGATAAAAGACCTTAAGAATTAATACTACTTAAATACTCAGGATTTTTTCAAATATTTCAGAACCACTATCATCCTTTCAATAATTTATTACTGGTAGATTGGTTTATCACAAACCACTTTATTGCTCACAAAATAAATACAATAATGAGAAGAAAATTTTTTTGTTTTTTTTTTTAGTGAGAAATGAACAAATAATGAATTCTACTTTAAAATTAATCCATTTATATTTATATGTAGTTATTATTAATAAAAACTGCATATATATATGTATCAATATACCTTACCATGAACTGTACTATAAACATTTAATTAGTGATTTAAAATTAGAATTTCATTGATTAAAATGTAAAAATGAGAGAAAATAAATATAGAAAATACATTAAATGCTCTAATATATTTAAAATAATATAATTTTTATTTAAAAGCATTTACTAAAAATAAAAGTGTATAAAAATTATCAATAATAATATTGGACGGAATAAATAAAGATCAATTTGAGATTCTACTAAACTTAAAACTAATTAATTACACTAATTAAAGTGGTAAAATTATCTTAGTCATAATTATACTATATAATTTTAAAATTTAAATTTTAACAATATAAAATAAACAATTTTTACCCAACATCTACATTTTACATTTATAAATAAGATTGACATATCAAATATTATAAAAACTTTATAAGTTACATAAATAATAAAGAAATAGCTTAAGTTTTAATAAAAATTAGTTTATATACAAATATACAAGATATGCAAAGACTAAGCAAGTTAAGCTAATACTGGATGCTTTTACACTTCCTCCTCTCAAGTGTGAAGCTTGTTGGCCACACGCTGGTGGACATACTGGAATAATTGTTTCTATAAACATAAACATTAATAACAAAAATATTATCAATATCATATAAAATCTAGCAGCAAAAATGTATTTTTATTATATTGGTAAGTACCGTAAAGATTAACAATTCCTTCAGCAGAACCTAAAACATTAGATGCTTTACAAATATATTCTCCATATTGACGTTTTTCAATAGTTATAACACGGATCGTTGTGTCAGTAAATTCATCAGCAGTTGCAAAGTGTGATATTCTAGAAAAATAAGAATCAATAGTTACAATGTAAAAGAAATATTTATTTTTATTCACAATGATAATATTAAACCATTTATATCAGTATATAATCCTTCATAGATAAAATTGGTATAATTTACATACACCGAGTTAATATCTAATAAGTAAAATAATAATTATAGTAGCTACCAAAAAATGATTTATACAATAAACAAAAAAATAACATTAATTTTAATCAATATAACCTAGCTTAAGTTCTCGATTTAAAAGTATCTATATAAATAAAAATATAGCTTTAACTACTGTCTTTATTAAATGTATTATTCTTCCATAATAATAATGAGCGATATATATATATATATATATATATTTAATGAATTACAATAAGTGTTTGCTGTTATTTTTTTGGGTATTTCATTATTACCGATAATGTTGATTGTTAGAAAGCTGAATTCCATTGTTCAACCAAACTATAGCTGGCGGTGGATAAGCTTCAACATGACATTCCAAATCCATATCATACTGAAGTGCTTGCCCAAGACGTGGTTTAGGAACAGTAATAACGGGTGCAAATTCTACTTCTACAGCAATATTACGTCGTGCACCACGTCCAACACCATTTTCAGCAACACAATAATATGTTCCACGATCTTCTTTGGTTATAGCAGGGATTTTTAAAATATTTCCTCTGAAAAATAAATGTAGTTGTACTGATGAATATATACATTTATTTAACTTAGTAATCAAAGTTTTACTACAGTAAAGAAGTAAGATACCTGTAAATAGAACCACCAGTGGGTAATATGGCATTATTTACTCGTCGCCATGAAACTCTAGGGATTGGAAATCCACCAGCATAACATTCAAGTTTTACAGGTTGGCCTTCATTCACAACCAATGATCTAGTTGAGTTATCGGATATTATAGGTGGGCGGCGAACTTCTAATTCAACTTCAGCTGATATTTTATTGTTTAAACCAAGTAAAATTTGACATTGATAAAATCCAGCATCTGTTTCTTGAATATCTTTGATCTAAAACAATTATTGTATAAAAAATATATATACGGAGTGTCCTACCAGGTGTTAACATCTTAAATATCTTATGATCTATCAAATATTTTGCGTTACTTTTTTAAAAAATAATTTTTACAGCTTTGAACTATTATAAAATCACATGTTTTATTATTTGTCTCTAATAAGAAAAAATTTTAGTAAATTTATTTTATTTTATAATTTTTTTTCGAAATTTTAAAATAGCCTTCTCTTACAAAAAATCTTGTTGGGTCAATAATAACTTTAGGATAAGTATTTATAGAGTTACAAGAATTTTTATACATAGAGTAGGTATGTTGTTGCACATACCCTTTTAAAAATAGCTGTTTTTAATTTTAAAATAATTATAATTAATTTTATATTTTAATTCATATTAGAGGCAAATAATAAAAAGTATTATTTAAAGTAGTACAAATTATTAAAAAAAAAAGTAACAGAAAATACTTGCTGGATTAGAAGTTATTGAAGTCAGTACATCTGTTGGCACATTCTATATATACATTTAAATTGAGTAGTTTTAGATACCTGTAAGGTATAACTTGTGCTGTCAATATCTTGACGTAATGCAAATCTAGAATCCTTAATAATGAGTGTACTACCAGTCGAAAGTACAACAGGTTCAGTAACTTTTCCTCTATCAACTTTTACCCACAAAACAGGGAATTCTTGAGAATATAAAACTGAACATGTCAATTCTACAGTTCCTCCAATATCTTTAATAGGTTTTTGTGTAATATGTGATATAGTAGGAGTCCTTTGACTCAAAACTAAAATGTTATAAAAAAAACAAAAGTATATTAAAAATTGTATACATTAAGAAAAAAAATGTTGAATTATAATCAGAATATTCAGTCTTACAATTATAAAAGTATTTTTTACATAATTTGCATTAAACAAGCAATAATGAAGAAAAAAAATATTTAAATTATATGTAGAGACTTTAATATAGCTATGAACTTTAAACAATAAAAAATTTTAAGAAGATTTAAATATTCAAAACTAAACCTAAAATTTATAAGTTAAAATAATTCCTTTAATAAAAACTTCTATTTAATTATTATTTATTTTACTTTAGTAACTTTCTAGATCTAGTCAACACCCAATTTCTTAAATATCAATGGAATAAGTGTTATAAATCTAACTGTTATTCGTCACGTTTTTCATAACATATAGAACTGTCTAATACTTTGTTTAAAAACTTACCTAAAAATATATCAAATACTATAAAAAATATAGTAGATTTCATCATTTTTGAATTCATACTTTATTAAATCAAAATAAGTAAAAAATCTTATAAATGATAAAAATACTTGTGTTTTCATATATTACACATTCACTAAAAGAGGGAGTAAAATTTAAATCATTTTAAGTACTTAGTAATTATCGTTACAAACATTAAATCATTAGAATACTCGATTATCACACAATATAAAGAAATTTTAATAAACAAAGCGCACCCACCTGAGGAATGTGAATTATTATCAAAACCAAGCCATTGCTTACATCAGTGTTGCCAGTCTTCTATTTTTTTACATAATTATATAACTTTATATTAATATAAAATTGTGTAGATATTAATTAATAATGTCATACTATTTTTAATTTCATATTTTTACATTGAAAATTAAAAAATAAATGTTTAAGTTAAAAAAAAAAACATCGAAATTCACTGATATAAAAAGTCGTCATTTTTTAAGGGAACCTGAAAATTTACTAGAAACAAGGAAAATAAAAATCTGTCAGTAGAATATTTCAATATAGTATGTATGTCGAATGTATCCATTAAAGCTAGAAACAAATCGTCCTAATAGGAAAATGTTTATGTTGAGTTAACTTTTTTTTATTAGTATGATAAATTATAATAAAACACTAGATAATATTACAAAATATATTTATTTATTCATTACTTGAAATAATTTGAATAAATATGTCTGCGTTATAATCTTAAGATAAAGTTACATAAACTTTGAACTTTTTAAAGTGGCTCAAATCAAATGCTCACAATTCTAGATTATAGATATATAAATTACTATACTGAAAAAAATTAACAAATGTGTCATCGATATTAGTCAAGTAAATTTTTTGTTTAATGAATCGTATTTTTTTGTTAATTTAATCATTATTTTTATAAGAAGAATTGAACAAATTAAAAAATATATTGTTAAATCAAAAAAAAAAAAAAGTGGTTCAGATAATAAAAGAAAAACTATTTAACAAAAATATTATTTGACGTATATGTATAAACATTTTGTTGATTTTAACAAGGAACTTTTCAGAGCATTATTTATTTATATATGATATTATTGACATGGGGTTTTATACACTTGTTATTACAAATGTTCATTATGATATTGTCTCAAAGTTAAATCCTCCGAGATAACAATGATTTATTTCAAATGGACCTCTACTTGTATGTTCGAATAGTTGTTACATCAATGAAAATCGAACTCCACAAAATGTTGAACGTATAACAATTTAAAAAATATTAGAAATAAAATTTTAAATTGTTGAGTTAATATAAAAGTATAATACGCAAGGGATTACAAATACAGGTAACTAATTGGTTTTTAAGACGTGGCTATCACAGACACGGAGTGTTTATTGTCAATTATGACTTTATCAATAGTTACACTTTCTATATTGTCAGTTGGTGTATTTATAAAAACTCACAACAATGTGCCTTACTATCATTAATAATAAATGCTGTGTATCTACGAATATCAACGTCATAAAAAACCAATTAGTTACCGGTATTTGTATACACTTTTGTATTACGTGTATATTAACTCAAAAATTAGAAACTTAAAAGTTTTATATCTAATAAATGAATAAAAACTCAAATGCTATTTACTATTAAAATAAAAACTCAAACATTTTATTAAATTCAAAATATATGTTCCCATTTGAAAAAAACAAAGTTACTATATCTTTACTTAATGGCTATTAACTCAAGAATAAAATGTAACACTAAAGGTAATCAGAAAAAAAAAATTTAATTATTTTTGTTCTGTAAATTATTGAGTGGGTAATGATAATCAAAAAATACTCTGTATACTAGTGAAATTATGCAATATATGTGTTTGAGTATTGCAGGTGTGGATCCAAATTTTTTTTTAAGAAATGCAAAAAGTTTTTAGACGACAAAATAATTTTTTTGTTAATTTTATTACATAAATGACTTTTTTTAGTAGGTAATAACAGTTCAAGGAAAAGCGCACTTCCTGCACCTTCCCTGGATCCAGGGCAAGTGATCATTGTACCGACGACCGAAATACAGTCAGGCAGAATACTAAGATGGTGTTTCAGTTGCTATTTAACAATTTTAATTGTTTGCAGTAAAAAAATTGTTATATTGTACAGTTAAAAGTCATTCAAATATATTTATAATGAATTCATAAATGGATATGTGGTAAAATGTTTCGGAGATTAAAATAATTTAAAGTAATTGACCGTGGGGCATATATGTGAAACTAAAAAATTATAGGTTATTATATTGAGAAAAAAAAAATAAATTTATGTGTCATAAGTAGAAGTAGTTTCCTGGGTGGGTAAACATAGAAACATGGGTCGAATACCCGCCAGTCTTCCCTTATATTGGATCCGCGTCTGGAGTATAACAAGATATATCCTAATTCATCAAACTTTAAGTTAATTTATATACAGTGCATAATATGTGCCGTATGTCTCTATATACACTCTAAAAAACTATTGAAACTATTTTCAATTTTTTATAGAAAACTAGAGTTCTAAAATGTACACTTATTATTTATACATTTATATATTCACAAAAATAAAATGTTTTACAAACTAGACAATTAAAAAATTAGCTTAAAAAAAAATTCAACATTTAACAATTAACAATGTCTCTGTGTAAAGTGTCAAAATGATATCTTTTGCAACTATATATTTCAACCGCATGCTGGTGGGCAAACTGGAATAATTGTTTCTGCGAAAAAAAATAATTATATTTTAGAATACAAAATGTTATAATTGAATATAATTATAATATTAATTAAGTCAATATTTGATTATTTTTGTTATTATTAAATTATTTCCTAATTTAATTTTAAAATAATTACCTTTTAATTAACTAAATTACAATTATTTTATAGTACTTATAGATACTCAAATATAATCATTGATACTCCTAGGACTAAATTAATTTTAAGGGTGTTGAAAAAGTAAGGAAATAGGTCAATTGTTACAAAAAATCAGAACAATAGAAACCCGCTCACTTATTGAACACTATATAGTAAAATTGTAAATATTTTTTGTTTGGAAAATTTTCTAAAATACTTTCACCAGAACTAAGTTCTAGTTAGGCCAGCGAAACCAACTTACCATAAAGGTGAACAACTGCTTCTGTCGTGCCCAAAACGTTAGATGCTCTGCACATATAATCACCATATTGTCTTTTTTCTACAGTTATAATACGAAGTGTTGTGTCTGTGAAATCATCAGCTGAAGCAAAGTGCGTTATCCTAAAAAATGTAATAAGTGTAAAAACGATTATTTGGCGATTCGAGGAGCATTGTTGTATTATTAGACCAGCGCAGCAATCAACATTTTGGACCACCGAGCATAAATAAAATAATTTCATTAAAAGTTATTTTGGTTTTTCTTACCGATGATGTTGATTGTTTAATAACTGAACACCGTTATTCAACCAGGTAATAGCAGGCGGTGGATATGCTTCCACATGGCACTCTAAGTCCATATCATTTTGGAGAGCTTGACCAAGACGTGGTCTGGGAACAGTAATAACAGGTGCAAATTGAACTTCTACCGCTATATTACGACGAGCACCACGACCAACACCGTTTTCAGCGATACAATAGTAAGTGCCGCGGTCTTCTTTGGTTATGGCAGGAATATACAAAATGTTTCCTCTATGAATAGACAATCCAAAAACATGCAATTACAGCAATATGAATGTTTATTGAATAAGCATTAATATTGTAAGATAAAATAAACTTTATTTTATTAATGTCCCTCCTCAAAAAATGTGCATGAGTTTATATTTATATACAGTTTTCTTTAGTAAATATATAATACGATTATCTCATATTTTGCTTTTAGGTTACCTGTAAATCGAACGTCCAGCCGGTAAAATTCCGTTATTAACTCTTCTCCAAGAAATTCTGGGTACAGGGAACCCACCGGCATAACATTCCAGCTTAACTGGTTGTCCTTCATTAACGAGTAAAGATCTGGTAGAGTTATCAGAGATTATCGGAGGTCGTCTGATTTCCAATTCAACTTCGGCCGATATTCTACTTTTTAATCCCATTGATATTTGGCATTGATACACGCCAGCATCAGTTTCTTGTATATCTCTGATCTATTGAGTAAAATAATATTAAGTATTGTAAAAATAATTTATACAACTTCTTGAGGCAAGCCAAAAATATTTAATAAATTGTGCTTGTACCTGAAGGGTAAAACTGTCGTCTCTTTGTATCAATTCAAACCTGGTATCTTTTAGGACTAAAGAACCTCCCATAGATATGACAAATGGCTCCGAGTTTTTATCTTTGTTTACTTTTGCCCACATTACAGGAAAGTCTTGCGAGTATAATACTGAACATGTTAATTCTACAGTTCCTCCGATGTCTTTGATAGGTTTCTGTGTTATATGAGTAATGGTTGGCGTTCTCTGACCCCAAACTGTAATAATAATTAAAATACTATGAAACATTATACACTCTTCAATTTAGATATTTAGCATTCTTAAAAATATTCATATTATTTCTTCATTTTTTTTAAATATTGCTAATACTTAAAAAGTTTCTGCACTATATGTATAATCAGGGCTACTATAAGGGGCCATGGGTGTTACTTTGTGCCCTTGGAAGCAACTTTAGGTTCATTTCAAGGGGGTGAAAAATATCTCTGGAAAACATAAAGACTAAAATAAAAGTCTCGATTGATTAAATGTATAACTTTATTGTAGCTATTCAGTAAATATTTTTGTGATGTGTTTATATATTACAAAATAAAATTAAGTAAATTAAATGCAAACAAATTAAGTATATACAGATGTTCTAATGTCGTAAAATACATCTAGTAGTTGTTTTACACCGAGAAAAAAGTTATGGTTAGAAATATTAATATTCAATTAATAAGTTTATTAAAGAACTTACCATTCAAAATATTAAACACAATGAACATTTTAATTAGTATCTTCATGTTATTAAACTAGCATAAAATGTTATTCATATAGACTGTACAAGATCGATAACCTTAGTAAAATGAAGTATCAGTTTTCGTTCAGTTTAGTGTATTAACAGAGCCTGTAGTCAGGATTACCTGTAATATAGTTAGCAGGTAACAAGTACCCGAAAAATACCTAAATTTCTATCAAAGTGGTGGAAAGGGATCTTTTGACAAATAAAGAATGTGGACAGACATCTTTATCATAATAACAATAATAGATACATATAATGGCTTTTATTAATTCTAATATTATATAGTAATAAAATATAATAAATTACCATAATTTTTATATTTTCATTTAATTTCAGTATTTATAATTAGAGAAATTAATTCAACATAATGATATTTTCTTTTTATAGAATTTTGAACATTAAAAATAAATAAAATTTTTGACTTAGTTAAAAGTTTTTATAATATAGACATATTGAATGAAAAAAAAATTTTTCGCAGAATTATCTTTTCAGAACAGCCTTATGAGAAATATCAAATTTTTAAAGTAATTATTTTATTTTTATTTTTAAAAAATAAAAAAAAAATAGTCTAAAATAATACAAATAAGCAAATCCTAGTGTACTTTGTATTATTACTAGCATGATAGAAGATTTACAGAGTGATTCACTAAGAATAAGACTCAGTTTCTCGGAAACTATTAAAAAATTTTAATTTTTTTCAAAGAAAAATAATGTTTGATTTAAATATCTCTAGAAAAATATGAATTTAAATAATTTTTTTTTCATCCTTTAAGATATAAAAAATCTTAACATAATTCTTTTATATGAGAATCCCTATTTTTTACCTTGATAAAAAAAATTTACAAAACAATTTTTTTTAACCGATCAACTGTTTGATTATTAAAGTTGTTTATAGATTTGAATTCAAAATATAAATCCATCAGTTATTTCGTAATATTGGAGGCAACAATAATCTGTTACAATGGGCCATACATTATTTTTGTGGTAGTTAACAAGAAAATTTTTCCACTTTGGTCGTTCAACAATGTATGATAATAAAATTGTATGGAATATAATTGTATGCGTCTATTGATGACTACTGTATACAAAATAGTAGAATAACAATAATAATTTGGTTTAAAAACACTTAACTTTAAAGCGTTAAAACAGACGATTGGATAACAAAATTATCGAATTACATGTTATTGTAGAGTTTTTTTAATTAAAAAATATTTTCTTTTACAAAAATTTAAAACTTTCAATAGTTTTCGAAAAATTGAATGACTTAATGAATCACTCTATAACTGTATATATATTATTTATAGATTTACTATTNGAATTTGTTGGGTTTACTGTGTACGATGGGGTTGCACTTTTTTCCGTTATCATTTGCTTCCGTCCCCACTATCCTTTGCTAGATCTATTATCTATTATTCTTATAGTGAATACATGATAGTAGAAAAATTGTAAGCCGGAACGTTAGACGTTATTTTTAACTGATAAGAATTAGATGGCAACGCCTTATCTAGACTGTATCATGACTCAGTTTTTGAACAAAATTGTGCATAGAAATTTCAGTATTTTGTTATTGTTACTTAAAATATATTTGCTATACATATATAAGATATTTATGGTTAATTTGATTTCACCGAAAGAGTTAATATCATTGTATTTTAATTTAACATTTTTTTGTTAAAAACTACTAATTATTTTAAATAGTATAAGTAATTTTCTTAAAATTAAAATAATCATGTCTTTTAATTTCCCAGCTTTTACTTACATAGTTGCTATGATATCTGATGCTTTTCTGATATTTTTCTCAATATTTCATGTAAGTATTTATTTAATTTATATGATCCATTTGGTAAAAATATAGATGTCCGGAGCTATAACAATTTGTTTTTCTTAACTATATAATTTAAAAAAATATGAATATTAAAAAAGTAGTTATATACAAAAGTATAAATATCTGATTATATATAATCCAAATATATGGAGTTTATAATAACTTATCCTTCATTTTTGAATTAAAGCATTTTTCTCATTGTATTAAATTTTTTCAGGTTATAGCATTTGACGAACTTAAATCTGATAACAAAAATCCTATTGATCAATGTAACAGCTTAAATCCGGTAAATAAATGAATTTCTAAAATTTATTGTATTTAGTTAAGTTAATATGTTTTATATGTAAATATGTTTAATAATTCTTTTTAGAAATTCTATAAAATTATAGTTATGTTTCATTTATCTATATAATACAGAGTGATCCCTTTATCATAACTGACTCAATTACTTCTAATATAAAAAATACTTTATGAAATATGTTTTTTGGCTTTATAAGTTATATTTGTGTTTTGGTTTATCAATTATTAAGTACTTTTTATGTTCATACTGTCATAACAGTGTCAATATGATCTTTTTAAATGGCAGTATACATATTCAAGCAAATTATAGCTAAGAATATGGCTGGTTAATAACGACTTTTGAACTAGTACTTTGGAAGTTAAAATACTTAACTGATAAATCCAGATATATATGTACTAAAAAATGTCAAAAATATATTTCTGAAATTACTATATTTTGAAGTAATTGAGTGGATTATGGTAAATAGATTACTATTAAAAGTCATGCATTAATATTCATGTACATTAAAATATGCATACTATATTATTTTTGAAATAAATTTTTACTTTTTTTTTTTAAATATTTTATTGTGACAATTTTCAGTTGGTGATTCCAGAATACTTGCTTCATTTTATTTTTAACTTTTTATTCTTATTTGCTGGACAATGGTTTTCAATTATTATTAATATTCCTTTGATGGTTTATCATTTCAACAAGTAAAATAATACTATAATAATTTATAATTACTGTTTAAATTTCTTTTTATTAATTTAAGTATTACAAATTTTTATAGATACAGAAACAGACCTATTGGCATGTCTGGTTTTGGCCTATATGACCCAACCAGTATAATGAATGCAGACAAATTGAATACATATCAACGTGAAGGATGGATAAAATTGGCATTTTATTTATTTTCTTTCTTTTTCTATTTATATGGGTAAGTTATATTTCTAATTTCAAAACTCTGTATAATTTTATATATGAAAAAAACTTGAGTACACTAGGGTAGTCTGGAATATGGTATACATTGTATTGTGTTAATAATATTTTAATGTTGAGATTTGGTGGAAACTCAGATGAAAAAAACCATAAGCCAAAATTTTTTTTTTTTAATTAATTAATTCAAATTAATTTTAACTAACTGTGATTACAAGATAAAAGATAAATTAAGTATTAATAATAAGATTAGAACTCTATTAAATGAGTAATGAACTGAAATAAAAATAAAAATAAAAGTGTTCTCTTAACCAATTAATGGCGTAAGAGTTTAGTTAATATTAAGTTAGTTTTAACAAGCAAATAAATAACGTTTAACTATGTATTTATTACTCAAAATAACAAAATAATCACAAAGTTTATTGAATTTTTGCAATTCAAAAATATAATATTTTATGTAATTAGTGAAAAAATTTTTTTCTCAAAAATAATATTTTGCAATGAATTAAAGACATTTACAAAAAAAATTGGAGTAAAAATTATTGGATTAATTATTCAAATTTAATACTTAATGCATAAACCTCATTTATTTCAAAATAAGTATAAAATATATTCTTATAGAGCTACGTTTTACCCCAACTTAAAATTTTTTCATTCAATTGCATTAACAAAAATTGTGAGCAAAAATTAAATTATGCCAATATTGATTAATAATTCAATGATGATTAATAAAAAAAATCATGTCTTATCCAATTATTTTATAAACTTAAAGTATTCTTAAAAAGTGAATTATAACATAAAAGTAACAAATTTTTAAATCTGAATAATTTATACAATATTTCTCTATGATTTTGTAGCAACTAAAAAACATGAAAAATGGTCTAATATTTGTTATTTATCAATCATTATATTAATTATAACTATAACATAATTTATTTTAATATTTGACTATTTCTCGCATTGACTTAGTTTACTATACCCTAGTTTACTCTATTCTTATGTAATTATGTTTTATTCATTAAGTAATTTATTTAAATTTATAATTTTTTTTTAGAATGATTCGAGCTTTGATATCAGTATAAATTCAAAATATTTTATTAGAAAATTGAGTTCAATCAAACTATCTTTGCTCAATAAATTGAATGAACAACCAAAAAAAACTTATTTTTGTATCTGTTTGTAATTTTATCTTGTACATTAAATTCATTGTAATGTAAAAAAAGGTTCAAACAAATAATAATTTACTATCTCTATAAAATTTTGTATTATAATTTCTATTTATTAATTTTTTACATTTTTTTTTTTATAAACTAATACATTGATATCATAAGTAATTTACTTTTCTTATAAGGTAATTTTAAATTATAAAATATATGTTATTTTTGTTGATAAACTTGGCCATAAAAGTTTTATTGATTGGGTAAAATATTTGTTTCACGTATTATATCATGTATATTAATTATAGAAAACAAATTAGAGTTTGTATTTTTATTATCTTTTCTTGGTGTAGCATATTGTGTAATTGATGTAATTTTCTTGCTGTTAAATGTAGATTTGAAGGGAATATAAGGTTGAGACTTGAGTTTATAACAAAGATTATGATTGTGTTCCAAATTCATATCAGAAAAAATATCACGGAAAGAATCTTTAATATCAACTTTGTTTAGTGTTAAAGTATTTTTATTCGCTATATTACATATGCGTGTATGCTTTTTTTTGATTTGATTATAGTGGCGGCGATAGGCACGTTTACGAAATCTTTCCTTTTTTGACAACCCTTTCTGCACTTTGGACTGTTGCAATAATATGCCGGTAAACTTAAAATAATCAGAAAATGTTTGGACTACACATGTTCCAATTGTATAGACTGAGAAAAAGTTAAAGAAATATTTATTTTGACCATTTTCTGATTAGCTAATTCATACAGTGACAGAATCCTAAAATAATTGTATTTAAACTATAAATTAAGTATAATTAAGAAGGAGAACAATTATTTATGTAATTAATGTATAAAAATAATTTTTCCTATTATCAATTAGTTTTTTGGAAGACATTAGATTTCGATTTTAATATTTCGTTCAGAAAATTGATTTTAAAAAAGCCAGAACACATGATTGATATGTAACAATGCGCTAAGAAAAACTAAGTTGTTCTTAACGAATATTAAATCTATTTTAATAATTAATATTTGGAGTAACAGAAGGTTTTAGGGTATGAGTAGAAGTACACTAAGGTTTTGCTTTAAGCTCTTACTTATTCTCTGTTGTGATGGAACTAGAGAAATACAAGGAGAGGTGCCGTGGTTCATGTTGCTCAAGAATAATTAGGTGTAAGACAGAGCATATAGAGTACGAGTTTGATAAAGGAATGATAAGGAGAGAAAATAAGTGAGGTTGTGATAAGAGAAGTGGAAAGTTTTAAGTATTTAGTTAGAATCAGTTGCGCAAAAGAACGGTGGTATTTACAAGAATGTAAGAAACCGGATTAAGTGTGTGTGGGTGAAGTGGAGAGAAGCATTTGGTGTATTGTGCGATAAGAGTATTCCAATAAGATTTAAAGGTAAGTTCTATTGCAGTGAGTTCATTATTTTATTTATTAAATCATGATCTACTTAAGAAAAATTATTGGTCGATAACAACTATTTGTCCAGTATTTCGGAAATTATTTACATATTTATATCTTGGCGAGAGGAAGTGTAATGTCAAGAAATGTCTAGTTTTAAAAATAGCAGCACCCACTCTTCACCTCCAGCCATTACTTTAAATTATTAATAACTTCCACAATACTGATTCAAAAGTTTTTATCGAACAGTAATTTTCTTAATTAGATCATTATTTAATAAATAATTTAGTTAATTATGCGTGATGCTATTTGAAAAATTAAAGTGACACTCTCATAAGGTTAAGGTATAAGGGATGAACATATATCTATAAATATATATATCTTTATGATTAGAAAATCGAATGAAACATTGAACTAGAAGAAATCAGTAAAAAATAATAATAATATTTTTATTTTTCGAATAATTAAGTAGATAGATAAATCACTCTTTAGTGTAACAGGATGACACGGTATGAGGGTTGTTTGATAATATAGTTAAACAAACAACAATACGTTTATATTAAAATAATAAAATAATGTAGTTAACGAAAAATAAAATAAATTTGTTAAACCAATCAGCTGCACGTGTCGTACATACGTCACAGGTGAATTGGTTTTTATTGTCGCTGTGTTAAGCCCCTTGATCCATCTTATCTACCGAATGACTGACATAGTGTTATCGTCAACACTGATGAGTGGATAGCTGATAATCACGCCAGTTAACGTTCAAATTAACGTAAATGAATAGAAAATGACATTTTATTTTTTTACGAGTCATTTCAAAGGAAGTACATCACAAGATTTTTTTCTTTATTAAGTTGTGCTCAATCAAAAGCGGATCTAGAAGTCATAATGGTTGACTCCCCAAATGAGTGCAAATCAAAAAAAAAGGATACACATTTCTTCATTGAATGGTATTATAGTCTTGGGCGATATTCTATATCCATAATGAGATACGAACAAAGTATAACAATTTACTTTGTCATTGAGTGTTTGACATAAAAATCTGTTAACAGAATATTTCAATATAGTATGTATGTTTAATGCATGTATTAGGCTAGAAACGAATCGTTTTAATAGGAAAATGCTTATGTTGAATTAACTGTTTTTTAATATAATTTTATAAAACTAACTGTTTTGTTTAGTATGGTGAACAATAATAAAACACTAAATATTATTGTAAAATATGTTTATTTTTCATTACTTGTAATAATTTGCAACTATAAATGCAACAATAATTTTAAAAAGTGATTATAAATTTAAAAGTATACTAAACATTTTTGGAGGGGTTATGCCCTATGCCAAATTACACCTATAAATTGGAAAACGATAAATTTAAATCTTAACATACTAAAAGTATTTCTAATATAGTTTGTTGAAACTTAAAACTATATCACATTATTCTTAAGATTATTGTAATAAAAATAGGCAATATTTCTATTACAATAGCTTAGTATTGTTTGATGTCTGATAGTAATTAAAATCATTGTCGTAAAACTCTTCGACGCATGTTTAAAACAAATTAAAAAATTCGCCATTTTTGCCGAAAACGTTATGATTTTAGATTAAATGCTCAATCAATGTTGTATTTAAAGATTTCGAAGAGTTTTTATTTTTTATCTTAAAGTAGTACACTTAATTAGTTTTAATTTAATGTAGACCCAAAAAAGTGAGGATTTTTTTAAAATATTCAAAAATTGAAAAAAAAAAAATTTGAAATTTTCTTTTAAATATCAAAATTATAGCGCTATCAGAATCATGAGTTTTTTATAGTATTTACGTTATGTAAATGACTTATCATTTCAGTGGCGCCGGGCCCTATTTAAAATTTATGAATATATGGATTAATACAAAGAATTATATTGATCCATATGTTTCACAAAGAAATTAAGAGTTATAGCAAAGTAAAGTTAAAAATATAAAATCGAAATTTTAATTTAAAAATTTGTTTTTATTTATCCATTTTCAAAAATTATTGTTTTTTTAAGAAAAAAGATTTAAAAATGCCGAAAATTACCAGATTTTTAAAATTATAATTTTTTGGTTGATTTCACCCATTTACAGGGAACGATTGACATTTATTCAATTTTAGAGGGTATAATCTTTGACTAGATAAGATTTGTATTCTTATGACGTATTGTTCATCAAAATCAAAACGCTTCATAGTAAAATTAATATTTTCTCAGCTTCGCATCGAAGCTAGAAATAAAAAAGTTAAAAAAAAAATTTCAGAAGTTATTAACATTTTTAAAACTATATGGTAGGAGTAGTGAATTCGAAAAATATCTAGTGATAAAAATATTGACACCTACTCCTCACCTCTTATCATAACATTAAGTTCCAAAATACTGGTCCAAAAATTTATCATTAACCAGTTATTATTTTAATTATATCATTAATAATTTAGTTAAATTTGTATGTTATCATTTCAAAAATGTAAGTTAATATTATTATAAGATATAAGGCATTAACATGAAAAATACTTTATAGTTAATAAATTGTTCTATATACATAAGACTATTAAGAATATTCATCTTATAGTAATGATAGTGAATGGTTGTTTATTAAAAACAATTATAATTAAAAAAACCCAGCATAGTGGGGTCGCGGCACAGTGGTGACGTGGCATAGTTGGATCAAGTATTATGATATCTGACAGTGATTAAAATCTCTATCAAAAAAAAAA